GGGTACTAACCATGGCGACTACAGTCAGAGGTAGCGTGCCCTGTGATGCCAGCTGTGGAAAGCAACACTGGCAGGGAACCATTCCTTTCACATGCTGCTTGCAGCTTTCCAAGAAACATCTGGATGGCTGTTGCACAGAACTGGATTAAGAACGTGTGAGCAACCCAGTTTCGGGCGGGAATCCATCAGATTTCCTCTGCTTGGGTCCCCAGACTCTGGCCCACTTTGTCTCTGCCCAAAGTCCACCCACTTCATGCACTTGTGTGGCAACTGGAAAGGGTCGAGTTCAAATGCAGTTCAGTTTCCAGACATGGATCTTGTGCGTTTTGCATGCTTAGTGCAAAGAATTAGACGATTCAGCACGACAAATTATGTCCTTTGTGCATTTTATGCAAAGAAATACTTGCTTTGTGTACCATGCACAAAGAATTACGTACTCTGGGGACCTTGCAAAGAGAATCCTCTAGTCTTTCCAAGCATTTGTGGACTTGTGCCTGGAAAAGAAGTCTGGGGAGTGCAAGAAAAGCTGTTTCTGCTCCGATCTTCACATGCCTAGACTTGATGACCACTAAACAAATCAGATTGCTGGACTAGATATTTGGTCTGTTTGTTCCTAATAAGGTTCTTCTTAAAGAAGCGTCCGCTCTGCAGAAGTCATATACGAAGGCCCGAATGGTAGAAAAATGGTGGGTGAGTATTTCATACAATTCAATTTATTCAAGGAGTCTCACAAAGAAAAAGGCATATTGGAAGAACATTATGCCAATGTTTTACAAACGTGCCCTTTGGAGGCATTTCAGCTGTTTGTGTTGTAGTTTTCAGTAATATTTTGTTTATGGATGTGGTTTTCTGTGGTTTTCTAATCCCACAGCTATTTGGCATCAATAAAGAATTAAGGATTTTCGCTGAACTGGATTTTTCAACATGGTCCAGAGCTCCACAATAACGGTTTCGCTACTCAGAAGCATAAGTTTTAATCTTATCCCAGAAGGATTATTTTACAGTGATTTAAGTGAGTAATGTTAATTAATTCCCATTAATGCTACCCGGAGAGAGAATTCATTTGAAGAAGTTCTTGAGTGAAGCAGGCCATTGGTCCAACTAACTCATTATTGCTTGTATGGACTAGTAGTAGCATTTTAGCATTTCAGACTAGATTCTTTCCCAGCCCTGCCTGGAGATGTGAGGGGCTGAAACTGCTTTCTTTTTGGTGGCCCTCTAACTGTGGAATAACCTCCTCACTGTGTCCTGGCTGACCCCAAATTTGTCATCTTTTGTCATCACTGGAGGCCCTTCTTCATGAACCCCCCACCCCAAATGAGGTGAGGGGGGGAACTGGCAAGGAAAAGGGCCTTCTCAGTCATTACACCTCACCTTTGGAATTCTCTTCCAAGGGAGGTACGACTGGCACCGACTTTATCTTGCTTTTGACCCCAAGTCAAGACTTTTTAAATCTTTTAAAAAATTTTTAAATCGAGTATCTGTTTTTAGACTGGATTATTGATTTGCTGCAGGTTTATTGTTTTATTGGTTACTGTTATTGGTCATACTGTGTTTATTTTCCTCCTGTTTCCTATTTATATGTTTGTACTCATAATGTGACTGCTCTCTAGAAGGCCAGATCCTGACGATGAAGCTCAAATACTTTGGCCACGTAATGGGAAGGAAGGACTCCCTGGAGAAGAGCCTGATGCTGGGAACAATAGATGGCAAAAGAAGGAGGGGACGGCAGAGGATGAGGTGGCTGGATGGAGTCACTGAAGCAGTTGGTGTGAGCTTGGGTGGACTCCAGGGGATGGTGGAGGACAGGAAGGCCTGGAGGAATGTTGTCCATGGGGTCGCAATGGGTTGGAAGCGACTTTGCTAAACAACAATTTATAATGTATTTTAATTTTACTATGTTTCATGGGTTTGTTTCTTATTGTTATGTATTTTTATCTGTATTTCAAATATATTTATATTGCACACTGTGAGCCGCCTTTGGCTATGGGGCGGTATACAAATGTGATAGACAGACAGACAGACAGACAAATACATCTTTTTGGTGGCATGTTAAAATGGCCCTCTACTCCAATGCCTTTAATGATCCATTTGGACACTCAGTGGCTTGAGGTGGATTGGCTATCCCGGGCCTTTTGTGGATTATTCTTTTGCTATTGTCTGCTGTTTTAGATGTTTAGAATTTTGAATGCTCTTTTCAGATTTGATGATATTTTTATTATATTTTGTTGTCTGTTTTTATTGATGGTTGTAAACCACCCACAGGGCTTCAGCTGTGGGGTGGTACAGGAAAGAAACTAATAATAGTAATAACAATAAAAATGACCCCCTTTTATAGCTTACTTTTGAAAAGGACCATAGGAAAAGAAGAGAAGCATCAAAAGAGAACCTGTGCATTGTTAGGTATGATGGAAGAACGGTCAAGAGGAATCATATTGACCTCCAATACTAAAGAAAGGTAGGTGTGGGGTTGCAAATTTGGTGATGGAGCTGCAGTGCAGATGGCATTAATTGAAAGCTGACAGGGAATTTCTGTCTGGATAAGATTATACATTTTCCAAAGGGATGAGCAGTCACAGCCCAGGCAAATTTTACCACAGGCGATGAGGCCTATCGGAAGGAACTGAAAGGAATGGAGTCATCAAAAATAGTTAATTCGATTCTGTTTTGGATTAAAATATTTGATTAGGCAACACAAGCTTTGGAACAATAGTCTAGACGTCACGACCCATAGGAAGTTCTGCTCACTCATCCAAGTGGTCCTGCCTTTCTCCCTTAGAGCAACTACAGAGACAAAACCATAGAAGGCTTGGTTCGGATGTGGAAGCTAATTCATCAAACAATTGTACCAGTGTTTACCTTGCAATAAGTTAGTCATGCTAGACAAAGTTGCAGGAAAGGTCCACGCTTTAAGCTTTCTCTCATTCTCTCTGAAGAAAGGGGTCCCCACCCCTGTGCTCCCTTCTTTCATCGGCTGTATACGGTTCTTTGTTCTCTTATGAGTAACTGTGTGCATAATTTATGTTGTACATTTAATCTTGTCAATTGCTGACAGGTGGTGATTAGTAGATCCGTAGCTATGCTGAGTTCATGAAATAAAGGGCATTGTTTGTATTCCATGAATTGCTAAGAATAGGGGAGTGAGGAATACACACACACACACACACACACACACACACACAGAGAGAGAGAGAGAGAGAGAGAGAGAGAGAGAGAGAGAGAGAGAGCACAAATGCATGTTAAACTTGAGCAAAAGATCTTGCACCTCACAGGGGAATCCGAAAACACATCATAGATGTGTGTCAACTCAGAAACAGCCCTACTGTAACAAGATGCTCCAGCCTGATGCCATTATTTCCTATATCTGAAAACATCAAAAGATTGGTATTCTTATAGTCTTCTCTATTCTTTGACAAACCTACCCCCAGTTTAATTTTCCAGTTTTATTAGTATCATATAGCCTACCAGCCTACTAACCTTCTGCACGCTCTGTCTCTACTCTCTGGTTGCAGTTAGTAGGTGCCGTATGAACTGGTTCTATAATATATGGGTAATATATTATATTATAATATATGGGTCTCATCCTTTATATATCACTGCCTTGTGATATATAAAGGATGAGAGCTATTAAAGCCATTTTAACACATTACAAAGAGGGTTGCATTTTGGATGATGCCATTTCATTCTGAGGATGTGAGAAAGGCTACAGATCTGAATACACCCTGTGTAAAAGTGTCCTTAATAAACAGAGATGATTGCCAAAGGTATAGAAACATTTGCTACAACACGTTCCTTCATATGGTGTCCTGATGGGTTACACCTGAGGGGTAGTAAGGGAGTTGGAGGGGTTACTCTCATATCCGCTGGCCTCCGCTGTTGACATCCCACGGAGAACGGGTGAGGTTCAAGAGGACTGGAGGTTGGTGTCAGTTGTCAGCCATTCCAATCTTCAAAAAGGGTAGTAGAAGGGACATGGAGAATTACAGGTCAGTTAGCCTTGTGTCCAGTCTGGGAAAGACAATGAAAAGGCTCATAATAGGAAAAGCTCTGGAATCCCTAGATAGGGAAGGGAGGTTGGTGGCCATGCAACACAGCTTCCACAAAAACAGGTCCTGCCAGACGAACCTTGTGGAATTCTATGACAAGGTTTCAAGGTGACTAGATGGAGGGGATGTGATGGATGTGGTTTACCTGGATTTCAGCAAGACAAAGTGCCACATTATATCCTGGTTGAGAAATTGAGGAGCTCTGGGATAGACCGATGCACTGCCCGATGGATTAGGGCATGGCTGATGGACTGAAAGCAGAGGGGAATTATAAGTGGGGAATCATCGGGATGGCGGTCGGTGATGAGCAGGTTCCTCCAGGGTTCTGTCCTGGGGCTGAACCTGTTCAATCTTTTCATCATCGACCTGGAAGAGAAGGTGACTAGTTTGCTGATCAAATTCACAGACAATATTAAAATGGGGATGGTGAGGAGCAGGTACTCTGGATCCAGAAGGATCTGGACAGACTATGGAAGTGGGCCGGGGACAACAGGATGATGTTCAATGTGGATAAGTGGAAGGTCTTGCACTTGGGGCATATGAATGGGTGTCATAAGTACAGGTTAGGGGACAAGTTCTGGAGAGCAGCACTTGTGAAAAGGATCTCTGAGTCAGCAGGGTGACAAGGCAGTCAAGAGGGCGAGCTCCACCCTTGGTTGCATAGCCAGAGGTGTGGCTTCTAGATCGAGGCAGGTATTACTGCCACTCTATATGACTCTGGTCCATTTGCAGCTGGAATATTATGTTCAGTTCTGGGCCCCTCATTACAAGAGGGAGGGCCACTAGGTTGGTGGCTGGTTTGCAGGGGAAGCCATAGGAGGAGAGACTGAGGCAGCTGGGTCTCTTCAGCCTGGAGAAGAGGAGACTCAGAGGGGACCTGTTAGTGACATACAAGGGGGTGTCATGCAGAGATTGGTTGTGGCCTTTTTTCTCTGCAGAGGGCAGGATGTGGAGCAAAGTTCATGGAGCCAAGATTCAAGGTGGATGCCAGGAAGTACTTCCTGACAGTTAGGACCCCTAGGGCATGGGATGGGCTTCCATGGGAGGTGGTTGAACTCCATTGGTGAGGGTGTTCAAGGACAGGCTAGACATGCACATGGTGGGCATGTCATGAGTGGAGCCAGCTGGAGCCTGGGGTCAGACTAGATGGCCCGGGAGAGCCCTTCTGACTCCCTGTTTCTATGTTTCTATGGTACATGCAGGGCACATTTTACATAAGATTAGGGCTGTCTGAAAAATCAGTGAGAACATAAGAGAAGCCCTGATGGTTCAGACCAAAGGTCCGTCCGGTCCAGCACTCTGCTCACATGGGGACAAGCCAGCTGTCCACAAGTTCCCTCCATGGAAAAGCTAACTGACCTTTAATTTTCTAGATCCCTTTTTGAAATCCTGTGTTCAAATGATCATGCTGCAGTGCTCTGATACAGAGGCCTGATCTTAGGAACTTGTTGCATATTTTGGTAAGAAGATCAGAAATTTCATATTTGAGCTCTTCAAGAACTCTAGGATGGAGACCATCTTGGCCCACTGATTCAGTAATTTCAGTTTATGCATAAGGTTGGGAATTTCATGTTTTGTCAATATTGTCTGCCTTAATTCCTTACACTCCCTTTCTGAATACCGAATTCAGGCACAGAATACAGAAATTCAGGCAGAAATCTATTCTGTATCCTCTGCTCTGAAGGCTGATGAATAGAATTCATTTAGTTTCTCTGCCATCTCCTGAACCTCCTTTAGTGTCCCTTTAATGCCATTATCATCCAGTGGCCCAACATCCTCTCTAGCTGGTTTCTCTCTTCTTATATATTTTTAAAAAATCATTATTGCTGCTTTTGATGTTGTTAACAATATGCTCTTGAATGTGTTTCTTTGCTTCTCTTATTGTCTGCTTGCATCTCCCTTGTGTGAATTTGCACTCTCTTGATGTATATGCAGGGAATGGTAATACACCACAAAATCATGCTGGCCAGCAAAGAAAAGTGTTTGACGTCATCCTTTTATTTCTATTTTTAAATGCATTTTTCTGTATAAATATCAACTCAACTAATATCTTTGTACCCTTCCTAGAGCTACCATGTTATTTCTCAGCTTTGTTACCCAGAACTGTACGTGGTATTCTAAGTACAGTCATACCACACATTTCAATAAAGACATTATTATATTGGCAGTTTTATAATTGGTTCTTTTTCCAGTGATCTCCAATGTGAAACAGGTGCTGAAACATGATCAGGGTTTTCATTGAGGTGTTAATAAGAACCAGAAGATCTCCTTTTTGACCTGTGACAGCTACTGTGATGCATTTAATGCTTGAAAACCTGGATAGAACATGTAATAAAATGCTGGGTTGAAAACAAGGTGACTAGAACAGGTACCAGACTCCCTTGCATAATCCAAGCCATTGGTGCCCCGTAAGTACAACACATGAGTAAGTATAACAGATGAGCAAGTATGAGGTATATATTATAGTGAATGATCTTTTGTTATGTTCTGTTTTATCTGATATTCAACATCTTCCAGGAGCATGTGGGATTTCAAGACATTCTCACATCCAGATACAGGCCTAACCTGTATCTTGTCATCTTCTAAGAAGAGATGATATCAAATGTGTTGATTTTTCTAAGAGAGAGTTGCACAGGATGTCCATTAACCAGCTAAGTTTATTCATTTGCAGATCAATAGTTTATTCGGCCTGCTCTGCAAATTAAATTCATTCATGCAGTGATTAACTGAAAAATTATATCTTTTCATCTGCGGGTTCAATATTTCTGTGCTCATGAATCAGGCTTCATTGGCAGAGGGGGGAAAGATCAAAGATGGTTGAAATCTACAAACCTTAGCTAATTTAATGTAAATACCAACAACAAATCACTTGCATTAATTGGGTCTTCAATCTTCCATAAATGAAAGGGCATCAGGTGCATAAACAAAGACCATAAACAGTGCCAAAAAGACCTCGAGATTTGGAGTGGCAGCAAATATAATCTAGAAAGATGCTTCTTTAAAAGTATCTGTTATTAAAAATGAAGCAAGCATTCTCTTACAACAGGCTGGAAATAAATTGTGACTTTGGATAACTAACAGTGTATTTTTAATCGAGTCCTGTGTGCCTAGTCTTCCTTCCTTCCTTCCTTCCTTCCTTCCTTCCTTCCTTCCTTCCTTCCTTCTGTCCTTCCAAGGAGCTCAAGGCACTTATGTGATCCACAGCCGCTCAATTTTATCCTCACAACAACTCCACAAGGTAAGTTTAGCTGAAAATCAAGGCTTGACCCCAAATCACCAAGAGAGCTTCATGCGGAGTGGGAACAACAATCAGGATTTTGAGGTTCTGAGTCTCAGTCCAATACTCAAAGCGCTACACCACACTGGCTCTGTTACAGAAGGGATAATGAGCAGTGACAGGCTGAGCAACACAAGAAACTGTATTATTTTTCAAAACTCTGTGGGTTTCAATTGCTAGTCCTCAGGAATTTTGCCGAAGGAAGCAGAAATGTGTTGAAAACACATTTTAGTAGCAACCAAGGGTACTCTCAGGAATGCTGCTTGTCTCAGTAAATCAGAAGGAGATCCGAGGAGGGACCACCAAATTTGATATAAAGTTTATATTGATTGATTGATTGATTAATACATTTCCTTTCAAGGTACTCAAGGGAGCTTATATAATTCTCCTCCCTCCTCTCCATCTCATCTCACAACAGCAATCTCTTGAGAGCCTGTGACTGGCCCAAAGTTACCCCGTGAGCTCTGTGGCTAGTGGGGATTAAAATCCAGACTGCCCGAGTCCCAGCCCTTCCCTCCTAACCACTACACCACCTCGGGCATTTTGGGGGATATCGGTAGGGCCAGCCCAGGGACGTTGGAGAAATCTGCAATGGACTCAGGAGGATGCTGGTCTCTAAGGACCTAGCCATGCATTCCCCCCCTCCCGCCCCGTGACATGGTTTCTGTAGACTTGTAGACCATTTCTTACACTGTACCTAATTTTATGCAATTTCAGTTATGAAAAATGCATGTGGGGGATTTGTGTAGTTTTGGAAGAACTGATTTTCACACATGCAGTGAGCATATTTGTGCAAAATCGGGTTCTGTCAATGAACGGATCTTACAGCATCCAAGCATCCCTGGCCAGCCCCGCTGTGAAGCAGGATGAAGCCATGAGCTTCAGGGAGTACCAAGAGAGGGCACCAGAGGAGATTGCAGAGTGGAGTCTGAAATTTACACTTTTGTAAAAGTGGGGCACAGCTGAGCTCTGTTTCAGATAAGAAAGTGTCCTGGGCTGGAGCTAAGTTTTGGCAGCAGCTCTTGGAAATGGACTTTGCTCATCCTATCCTTGCTTACGGTAATGTGATGTTGGAGGGGAAGACTCATCCAACCTGCCCAAGCCTTTTCAGGTAAATATCCAATGCCTTTAGTGAGTCTGATCTATAGCAATTCCCTCCAGAGGTTTGAATTTTGGGGTATAACGTATCTGGAGGTTGGAAGAAATGCCTTATATGTAACCAATGGATGGTTGTTACCTTGCTCAACTCCAGATATCAGAGGTATCCTATTGAAAATCTTCTAAGGGGAAAATCATTACGGATGCAAGAGAAATTCACTTGCTTGCTCAGAAAACATGCAAGCAAGGCCCATATGAAGCCCCAAGTACAAGGGGGAGCACTGCTGCAAGCAAGCGTCCGCTGGAAACACTTGCAAATGGTTGAGCATGTGCTCACATTTGGCTTGCTTCTGATTCCATTTGCTTTGATTGGTGCAAATTCCATAAGTAAAGCAAATAAATACTCTATACACTATGTTTACTTCCAGGGAATTCATATAGATTAAGACATTTGCGCAAATTTGGGCATATTTGTGTGAACCACACGTTGCTTGATATCTCCTTGATATATGCAAATCTTTGCAATTTGCACCTCATGCAAATCACAAAGGCAAGTGGGAACTGGGCATGAATGGGTGGTGAGAGGATGCTCAGGGCATGCGAGCCATCTTGAAGATTTTACCAAATAGTGAACTATTTCCTATTGGATTTCTATTGATAGGAAATTCCATAGTTTAACAGACTACCACTATAAGCTTCCATGTCTACTCAGCCTCACTGGAACTTACTCCCAGGGATAAGATTGTAGACTGAATTAATTAGGGTACAATCCTCTGCATGAACACCCTACAACTCTTAGCTTTCTCCAGGCAGAGTTCTAGGATTTTTTCCTGTCTAAACTTGCCCAGGTTTGCACCCTCAGGTGCCTTTTGTTAGACCAGAACCTATAGTAGGGTTAAACGGATCAGTCTCATTCCAGTCCATTTACGTTGTACACACGTCCAGTCATGAACCCATGATGTGTTTTCATTTAAGCATTTCATTTAAAAGACAAAATGTCTTTATTTTCCCTAACGCAGACATTTTGGATTCAATTCCCCTGCTCTACATTTTCTGTCCCTTAAAATATGCTATTTTGTATGCATATTTTGAGCCAAGAACTGCATCACAGAATTTGGAATAGCACGCGGTCCAAAGGACAACTTTGTTCTGATCTGTATATTCATCAAGAAAGAGTAAATTAGACTAGTTTGCTTAAAAATAGAAACCAAATGCAATTTTCTTGCAGCCCCAGGTGTATGGCTTCTCAACATTATGGACGGGCTGGAGTTGTGCTATTATGATACAAGGAAAAATATATTGGTAACCAGTATTTCCCCCTCTTAGGCTTAATTTTATCTGTCACATTTATTTCCCCCCTACTCAGTGTTTCATTTTAGTACAATTGAAGCCCATGTTCACCTGCATAAAAAAGAATAATCAATAGGTTGATGCAGAATAATTTTTTTCTGAGAATTCCGGGGTCTTACAGCAAGCCATTCATCATTTCAGGCTCTTTCTTTTGCAAAGGTCTGTTTTACAAGTTAACATGAAAGCAGAAATCTAATAAGTAGGTTACAATCCTACAAACTGCGTATGTCATGAAAAAATAAAAATAAACACACAAACAATGCATAAAATAATTCTGTGTCAACGAAAGAAGACGAGTCGTCATTGAGTCGTCTCATCTCAAGAGAAGAGAAATTTGCTTAAAATACTTCGGTTGCTTGTTTAGGTAATGCATGAACATAATGCTGAAAGCAACAGAATGAAATCCAATACGGACAAGTGCCAAGTTCTACAGCTAGGAAAAGGGAACCAAATGCACAGTTACAAGATGGGAGATACTTGGCTCAACTACACTACAAACGACAAGGATCTTGGAATTGTTGTGAATCAGAAGCTGAAAATGAGTCAACCATGTGCAGTGGCTGCTAAAAAAGCAAATGTTAAATCGGGCTGCATTAATAGAAGTATCGCTTCCAAATCACATGATGCAATGGTTCCCCTCTATTTAGCAGTAGCTCATGCCAAACAGCATGAGTATTGTTTCCAGTTCTGGGCACTACACTTCAACAAAGACACACAAAAACTGGAAACAGTTCAGAGGAAGGCAACAAGGATGATTCGGGGACTGGAAACAAAGCCCTGTGAGGACAGATGGAAAGAACTGGGCATGTTTAGCTTTCCGAAGAGGAGATGGAAGGGAGATGAGATAGGGCTCCTCAAGTACTTGAAAGGCTGTCACAAAGAGGAGGGGCAGGATCCTCACCGTCATTCCAGAGTGAAGGACATGGAATAATGTGCTCAAGTTACAGGAAGTCAGTTTCTGGCTGAGCCTCAGGAAAAACTGACTGTTAAAGCAGCAAAACAATGGAAAAAATTACCTAGGGAGGTGGTGGGTTTCCCCACACTGAAGGCATTTGGTTGGAGACTAGCGAGGAGAGTAGAAAGTTGGGGTGTCAGTTGATTTTAGCGTTGTGTACTTTGAATTAATCAGCGTGATCCATTAAAGCCAGGGAAGCATGAGGGATCCAGTTTGGAGGGAAAAATCCATCAGATTCTCTAGGCTCAACTCTCTGGTCTTCATCCTGCTTCCCTTGACCACCACCTGACCCACTGCCTCCTTCCAAAGCCTTTGTCTGGGATCCAGCAGGAAGCCAGCCTCCCTTTGTGCCCTTTTCTCATATTGTAGAACAGTCACACAAACATGGAATCTGTCCAGCAAAGGGCCGCTAGGATGGTGGCTGGTCTGCAGGAGAAGCCATGTGAGGAGAGACTGAGGGAGCAGGGTCTTTTCAGCCTTGTGAGGAGGAGACTCCGAGGGGACCTGTTAGCAACATGCAAATATGTGAGGGGGTGTCACACAGAGGTGAGTCATGACCCTTTTTCCCCTGCAGTGGAGAGCAGGACAATGGCCCCAAGCTCAGGGAGCCAAGATTTAGGTTGGATGCCAGGAAGTACTTCCTGATGGTTAGGACCACTAGGGTATGGAATGGGCTTCCACAGGAGGTGGATGAAGCCCCATCGTTGAGGGTGTTGAATTGAAAAACCATGGATGTCTATTTATGTATTAATTAGATTTATATCCCACTTTTTATGATAAAGTGGCTTACATCATTCTTCTGCTGCTGCTCTAAGTATTATCTTCACAACAACAACCCTGTGAAGTAGGTTGGGCTGAGATTCTATGACTGGCCCAAAGTCACCCAGTTGGCTCCATGGCTGAGCAGGGACTCAAACCCAGATCTCCTGAGTCCCAGTCCTGTGCTCTTAAGCACGACACCACACTGGCTCTTGAAGGGAGATGCTTTGATTAATCAGAGTGCCTGGTTCTTTCCAATATAATGTCAACACTGCCCTGTCACATGCCCTTCTGCTGAATCTGGGACCATGTTGTGAGCAAGCTCTATTTTCACAAAGAAGTGAAAGCAAACCAAGTCCAAACAATCTCCTCTTTTGTTTGCACGAGGCATAATGGAAAGGAACAGATGGGTGAATGTTCAAATATTGTGAAGGCTGGGATCCTTCTGCCAATGACGGACATGATAGATGGTCCAGATCCAAGGCATTTTGAACTCTCGATAATACCCCCCAAATTAAGACAAAGCATTGCTGAAATGTAAATAGAGTCCGCGCCCCGAATCAATCATCTTTAGATCGAGGGCCATTAATCAACCTCCTCTCTCTCAGTTTTCCTCTGTCCAGCTGCCGCTGGCGCTGCTTTGTTATGCCGCTCACCAGCCGCCCATGCGTGGCACCCGCCCCAGAGGAGGCTGCTTGGGCAAGGCTGCACATGAGGCGAGGGGCTCTGCCTCCTCCTGCCGGATCTGGGTCCTCAGCAGCGGGCGGGCTCTGGGCTTTCCGGAATAGATGAGAGAGCCCCCTTCCGGGCACAATGTCACATTTCCTTGGGAATGCTGTAGCCAATGCGGAAGGGGAAATGCGGAAAGGTCTCAGACGACTTGCTGCCTTGCCCACGATATAAATGTGAACTGATTCACATCTATCACTACCATTAATGAAAAGGGGGAGGGGGAGGAGGAATGGAAGGAATTGAGAGAAACTGAGATTGACAGATTTGTCCATGTCTTCTCCTGCATGCCTCTCCTTGGGTGATGTCATTGCACAAAAATGGTTTACTGGGACCATTATGGGAGCCCTGCATGGGCTGCTGTCCCAGGTAATGGCCAGGTGAGGCTCCTGACTCAGCTGGGCTGCTGAACTCCAGCCCCAAAATGCATTCATCATCAGGGAGCACCACAGAAGGTTCCTATGAAGCTCAAAAGCAAAGCACCGTTCCCTGATTCCAGCAACAAGCACTGCATCGTTGCAGTCTTGTATTACCATAGACTTAGCATATGTACATAAGAACAGGAATGGGCCCAGATTTAATGATGCAAAAATATGCATTGCCTATGCAAGATCAGGTCAAGGGTCTATTGACCTCTGCTTCCAAGGGTGGTCAACCAAATGCTCCTCAAGAATCTCACAAGCACATATAGATGGAAACAGTCAGTTTCTATGGCTTTCTTGAGACTCCGGCTGAAGCTAAAAAAGCAAGGATGCTACAAATAACACCAGACAAAAGTTGTTGTGCATTGTCCACTTCCCCAGGATGGTTTTCGCTTCATTTCAAATGTCTGAAACAACAGGCAGATTCTTTGCAAATTGGCTTTTTGTTGACAATTCACACCTAGCAAGCTACAGCCACTGAAAACTAGTCTAAATTGTTGAATGCAAGCTAGAAACTACTTCCAAAGCCCTTCCTTTTCAGGAACACTGGGCTCCACCCTCTGGATGGGTCCCTCTGGATAAGGGCTAGCTCCCTAGATCTACACAGGCCTTCTAACTGGGTAGCTCTTCTATCTCTACACCACACCATGGGGTCAGGGACTGGACAGGGCATGGGCTCACCTTCCTTCTCCCCTTGGTCCCCCCCTTCTCTTCCAAACACTGTCTGTTCCCATGGTCTGTCTAAAAACCCAGGGACAGCCACCTTGAGACAACCACACCCTCCTCTGCCCTCTCAACTCTCACACTCCCCATTTCCTAGCCATCACCATCCTCATCTGGAGAGTCGATGCAGCCCTGACCTTGGAGATGCACCCAGAATGACTGCCTCATAGAATCATAGAATAGTAGAGTTGGAAGGGGCCAAGAAGGCCATTGGGTCCAACCCCCTGCTACTGCAGGACACCAGTTTGCACCATCCCACTCAGATGGCTGCCCAGTTTCACCTTGAATTCCCCTCGTGTGGGAGAGTATACCACTTCTCTAGACAGCTATCATATTACTCTGACTGTGAGGAAGCTTTTCCTGATGTCCACCCTGAATCTGGGTTGTTGCAACTTGAGTTGATTATTCCATGTCCTACACTTTGGCATCAGCAAGGAGAGATCTTGACCTTCCTCTTTGTGAAAGCCTTTGAGGTACTTTGAGGTTCCTCCTCATCTTCCTCCTCTTAGAATCATAGATCAGAAGAGTAGAGTAGAGTGGAGTGGAGTGGAGTAGAGTGGAGTGGAATAGAGTAGAGTGGAGTGGAGTGGAGTAGAGTGGAGTGGAGTGGAGTAGAGTGGAGTAGAGTAGGAAGGGGCTATGAAGGCCATCGAGTCCAACCCCCTGCTACTGCAGGACACCAAGTTACACCATCCCACTCAGATGGCAGTCAGTTTCTTTTTGAAGGCCTCTAGTGTGGGAGAGTCACCACCAATCTAGGCGGCTGGATCCACTGAAGGAGGTAAAAAAGGTGTCTATCTGGAGGAGGGTCTTCTCTGCTGTGGTGCCCCAACTGTGGAATGTGCCCCCCAGGGAGGTTTGCCTGGCACTGACTTTATAATCTTTTCGGCTCCAGGTAAAAACCTTTTTATTCAGCCATCATTTTAAGAACTAAGGATTTTAGATGCGTTTAATATTACAGTCACATTTTCTTTCTGTTTGCTGAATTATGAATGTTATTTATTTATTGTTTGTTATTTATTATTTTAATTGTTGTAATTATTACTGCTGATTGTAATTTTTATTACTGTTTTAATTATTGTAAGCTGTCCTGAGATGTTTTATCAGGAAGGACGGGGTAAAGATGTTTTAAATAAATAAATTACTCTGACAGTGCCTTGTTCTTTTCCAAGAGACAGTAAGAAGTCTTGGGGGAACACTTACATGGTCACTCTGCTTGTGAGGAGTAAACCTTGGAGATTCATAGGATTTGTATAATTTCTGTTTCTTATTTCCAAATATAACTGTCGAAGATGGGATGCACACTATTCCAGGGAGCACCTATCCAAGGCAGGCTCAATCCCCCCCAAATAAATATAATATTTTTGGATTGCCCCCTCAGCTAGCTGCTAGATTTGATCTGATCTCCCTCCTTCCAGGGGGAAGGTGTGCAGCACCCATACCTATCAGCTCTCAAGTCCTCATTTAAATGAATGTTGTTGTTGTTGTTAGTCGGGAAGTTGTGTCCGACCCATCACGACCCCATGGACAACATTCCTCCAGGCCTTCCTGTCCTCCACCTTCCCCCGGAGTCCACCTAAGCTCACGCCAACTGCTTCAGTGACTCCATCCAGCCACCTCATCCTCTGCCATCCCCTTCTTCTTTTGCCATCTATTCTTCCCAGCATCAGGCTCTTCTCTAGGATATCTTCTAGCAATCAGTGTTAATTAAAGCTGTTATTAGCTATACAAAAGAGTGCTTGCTATTAGCTCTACAAAAGCTGTAGAGCAAAGGTCATCTCTACATTTAACACAAAACAATAACTTTCCTGTTACAGCCTTTATCAAGCTATTTAGTTAAAGCAGGAGAGATGCAGAGTAGTTCAGAACAGTCTGTCTTTCTTAATGCCTGTGCAATATTCAGTCAATCTAGATTCTGGAAACTGAAATGTGCAAAGGGATTTATGGTCTGGTCACTGTACCTCAACAAGGATATCATACAATGGGGAAACTGAGGAAGAGAGCCAGGGAAATGATCAAGGGACTGAAGCAAGTCCCCTAGGAGGAAAGGATACGATGTCTGGAACTGTTTGGGTTGTTTTTTTTTTAAAAGCAAAGAAAAGGAGACATGATAAGGTGTGCAAAATTGTGAATGTGGAAAAAATGGGTAGGGGGACATTTCTTTCCGGGGGTCAGACTAGATGGCCAAGGAGACCCCTTCTGTCTTGCTCTGTTTCTATGTTTCCCTCTCTGATAAAGTTGGCACTAGCTTCATGGGTCTTTCAACACTTCATACATTGCATGCTTCTTATTTCATCTTTTACTGGGTATGGAAGACATGATTCGTGTTTTAATAAAGATTTTGTTTCCTTTGAAAGGGAACATTTAAAAAACAATAATGGAAAGCAGTTCAGAGTTGTTTGTCCAAACCACATCTCACCTTTGCCTGGAAAGATGCTCCAGGGAGATGGTGGGACAGGAGATGCTATTCTGAGTTTTTGGGAACATACAATAGATCAGTGATCAAATATGTTCACTCACTAGTGTGAGGCTTTGCAACATAATGTCTTGAATATAATTCATAGTCATGTCTCTACTCTTTATTGTAGCTGCTTGGAAGTGCAGGCACCGGGATCTTGCCACAGGCACTTCTTAATCTCTCCCTTCAATGTTGTTGTTAGTTGTGAAGTCGCGTGTCCAACCCATCGGGACCCCATCAAGGGCCTTGCTTTAAATAATACTCTCCCAGTCTTTTGATTCCTTCTCCTCTGTTTTTCAGTTCTACTCCAGATTTTACTTGGCTGAGAACATAAAGTGCAGATCGTTTTCCCAGTGCACAAATGCTTTCTGCTGTATTATTTCAGCTCTCTCCTAATTAGCCATTCTGCTGTGGAAATCAGGACTTCGGTGCAGTTCAGTTAACTAATTGGTAGCACCGTCCATCCAGCTGTGCCACTGCCTTCTGGCATCAGTCCTCCCAGAGGTATTTTGCAGCTTTGAAAAGAATGGCTATTTCTATATTTCACAACTTCCGTGGCACTCCAACCTGGCCAAGAGATAAAGCCAAAAATAAGCTCACAGAGGCAGGACTGTCTCTGGATGGTGT